TGGGAAGTACAGTGAAATTCAATGTAAAGTTCTGTTGCTTTACATTGTATTGCTGTACTTTGTCGTTCAGAAAACATTCCACTCTTTCTCAGGTTTCACAGTAAATTCAAAAAAAAAAAAAAGAGGACACCACAAGAAACTGAGGCCATCCTCTGATACAGGCCAGTGCATAAAAACACAAAGATGTAAAAAAAACCCTGAATAATTAAAACATATCTTTACAATGTTTAAAATGATAGAATTGTAAACGACTTTATACCACTTTTTTGTAAATATTGTAAATTGTTTTGAAATTTTTGTTGCGCCAGCTTCAGCATTATTCAAAGTCCGTGTTAGATTCCTTCAATTTTGGATTGAATCATTTGGATCAGTCTGGAATGTATGCCTATCTTTCACAACAGAAGAAAGGACACCCTGTTTCTGTCTTGGCAAGTCCTATGGTAGTATTGAAAATGAAGTTTGTTAGGCAAACAGTTCATTAGCAACTTCATTGCTTTGTTTATTTAAATTTCTGGGGCCTGGTACGGTTTCACTACAATGCACCAGGAAAAAAATATTACACTTGTGATCAAGGAACTTCCCATTAAGAGGAATGGATTTTTCGTTGACTCACATCTAAACACAAAGGTATGCAGAAAAAAGTGTTGATGTGCACTGTTCCAGATTTCATTTTAAGGCACTGAAATATGAGTGTAGAAAAAATGTGTCATACTAGGAATAGATTTTTTTTTAAAGCCTTATATTCAAATCTCCTAATAAAATCAAGGCACATGTCCTCAATTGTGTGAGATGACAAGAAAAGAAAAAAGGGGATAATCTACTATACTCAATGACACTACCTGTAAGCAAACTTTAAGTAATTAATATAACACTTTAAAGATCTCTGAAATGAACAGCTACCATAACCATTCCATTTCTAAAATTATATTATACCTCCAAACCTGAGAGATCAAAGTGATCTCTCAGCATAAATGAAGACATACTCTAAATGATGGAGGAGTAACTTAGCATTTACATCAATCCAACTCTTTTAATCAGATGTCATTGACAGTGTGACTTTATGGTATAGCTATAATAGAGTTTCACTTACACAGTCATTTAAGGCTTCTTTGCAATTTCAATACACACACCTTTTCTTTAGAGAGTAAGTGAAGTCTGTAATGAGTCTGTCAACCAGTGATTTTACCTATACCGACATTAAGATCTACAATGTAAAAGAAATGTGATGGCCAGAAATGACATGTTGATTATTTTTTCAGCTGACATTAAATAACCTCTGTTGTGACACAGACAACAGAATCTATCTGAACAGCATATGTGTGAGGGAACAATTACACAATTTGGGACATTGTCTACACTTGTGGTCTGGACAAGAACATCGGCTTTCCACTGAAGGGGAAAACACTCTGTCTTTGTGACCCAAAAAGTGTGTGACTCATCATTTTAGAGGAAGGCAACTGTCAGTAATGAGTTTCAGATTCTATTTGTCGTTTTGTTGTGTTGTTTGTTTGGGTATTTTTATGCATTTCCATTTCAGGTTGTCTGCCACGCATGTGTTCATCTTAAGGAAAATTAGAATAAGCTGCAAATGACCCTGTTTGTGACATGACCAAGATGATCGAGCTAGTTTGCTGATGGTGATAAGTTTTCCCCATCAGACACAAACATGTAAATCCAAATGGCTCTCCAAACGCCAGTAACAAAGGAGATCTAGAGACAACATGTTTTTATATAAAATCGTTTAAAAATCCCATTCAGCTGGTTTGAACTCTGTGAAGATAAAAGCAAGTCATACTGGCCAAGAAATTAGACAACATATGTTTGCTAGCAAGTAGCGTCAATTAGGCAACTGTTGAAAAGAAAAACAAATTATATCAACCATCTGGTTTTCTTGCTGTTCCCATATCATTTCATCTTATCGGCTTAATCCCTTAGTGTTTCCTTTTTGTTTCTCACCCACAGTAACGTTTCCTTGACCCTTGCTCCTGGCAGCTGATAAATCAAGTTAGGGTTGCTTGTTTCAGTGCAATTTATTTTATCTTCTTCAATCATTTCCAGGAGATCCACAAATGGAAAACACAAGCCAGTTGTTGTTTTCACTTATGTAGAAAGCTTAATGTCTTCATGTAGAACCTCGAAAAACAGTCTTAAATCTTATAGACTTATTAAGCATCTTTTTTATGAGATACAGTAGATATAATCTTAAAATATCTTATTGCAGAGTGATGCAGAAGAGAGGAGACACATCTTCTTTACAATTGAGATTGGAATGATAACTTTGCGGTCATATAAAGCTTATAGTTAGGGGTTGCCCTAATATAGGCCGAGAAGTTTGGGGGACCTGCCATGATGCACATTTCCAGACTTATTTCTCTCTGACAATCTCCACTGTCACCATGCTTGAGATTTAGGATTGGATCAAAATAAGTTTCCAGTACGGATAATGATTTTTCTATGTGCCATTTGAAAAAAAAACACTGATTTAGAATTCAGTAAAAGGATTGAATTGAATTATTGTTGTTTAATGTTGTTTTCCAATGAACCAAAGAACTTGGCCATATTCTAAGACAATTCAAACACTGAAGACAAATGAATTCGGGAAAATGTCAGTCAATTACAAACATTTTCTTAATATTAGACATTGTCCTTTCCCCCAAACCATGTCTGATTAACAGCAGCTGGGAGGCTGAGCCTTCACAGGGGAGGGAGAGTCAAAATAAGCTCTTTATAGTTTACAAGCCAGGCTCTGGCCTATAGAAAGTGACACTGAAGAGTAAAGACCACACGGTGAACTGAAATCAACGGACTTACAAGCAAGGGTGCAGGAAAATGATGCCCTTCAAAACATAGGACATTGCATCATCACACTCATTAGCAGTTAGCTTAATGCAGATGTGTAGTAAAAAACAACTGTGTTGAGATCTCAGACTGAGGCAGCTGTATAAAAACTAAAGCTGGAAACATATGAAAAACACTGGTACACTGTCAGACAAGGCACAAATGAAAGTTTTTAACCATCAAAGAAAACAGTGTTTGTGATTCCAAACCAAGACCTCTCCTCACCTCATAGACACAAAACCAACAGTGAAGCATGGCAGTGTCAGAATCATGCTGTGGGAATATTTTTAAGCAACAGAGAAAGAGAATCTAAAATATATGTATATATTTCTATAAACACCTTTTTTTTCGACGTAACATTCCACCATATTGTGTTACTTTGTCTCCCTTCGATAAAGGCTATATCATAACAACTTATATTCCTAACACGACCCCAGGACAGTGTTCCTCTCATAGAGCTCAAACTGCCATTGCTGCTATCTTTTCATGGAGTCCATCCATCCACTATAGTCTGTCAATCAATCTTAGTTATGCAAGTTCTGGCTAAACCCCTGGACTAGATTGGAGTCCAAAGATGTAGAATTGTGATTGAATCAATCAACAGAAGCAAAACCACTTCAAGAGTGAGGTCACTTCCCACAGGGCCTCTCTCTTCTCTCTCCTGCCATTGAACTTAGAACATGATACCACAGTGAAGTTATGAATAAAGCATCAAAACAAATCATGGAATCCTGGTCCTATTCCAAGGTTATGCATGTTTATACCCAAGTAACAACTTGCAGTTAAACATATGTAGAGCTGCTGTCAAACCTCCTCTGTTCCATAGTTTGGCTGCAGTGGAAATAATTTCCAGTGAGTACTTTCTTTCAAAATCTTACTTCCAGTAAACAAGTGACATCACATGAATCTCTAAAGTCGTTGCTTCTTTTTGGTTGTTGTTTCGTTGTGTTACGTATATTCTGCAAAGAGCGACGGCCAACAATAAAGTTGGCTTTAAGCATCTAACAGGAGCTTTGTGACCAGGAAATAAAATACAAAATACTATGAATTAGATAGAATTATGCTATATCTGTGTTATCTTCCATTAAAATACATATATATGAAGTTCTTTTCATCATATATTCCTCGAACATTTGGATTTTTACAACATTTCTGCAAGGCTTCCAAAGTACTTTGTAATGACGTTTATACTTTACTTCACTCCATCGTCAGGTTTCGGAGTCAAAGCTTGAAGCTGGCTCCAAAGGGAGATGACCAAAAGAAAAAAAATGTTGCTGGAAATATGCTATTAGAATTTTTTTTTAAAGATACTTTCTTTTCACATGGCTAGACTCCCAAAAAGTGCTTAATAAACCCTTTAAAACTTAATGAGAACCAAATGCAATATTTTGCTATGGAAGATGCCTACATAGACAAGATGTCCTTTTCGTCTCTTTTCCCCAAAAGAGGAAATGCAGAGGTTTGCCAGTAATACATACTGACACTGGCAAAGAGAAACATCGACTTATATTTTCCAGGCAGACATTGAGATGGATATGTCAGGAGTACAACTTAAGTCCCTTGCCAGATTCACAGGAACAGGTCAGCCCAGAGAGGCAGATGCTGAGGCACAGCAACAATATTACACTTCCACTCTCTTCTGTTGCCAGCAGCTGCTGGATTGAGCCACACAAAGCACCTCTGAATTAAGACACAAATCCTTATTGTGTTGGAAAGACTTTTTTTACACTTATGATTTAACACTGGAGTAAAACAGAACAAAAAAAGGTTTTTTATATACTCACCAGTAATCCCTTGCTCTATAGTTATGCATTTGATTTGATTTCCAAATAAATTTCCAAAATTACAGCCCATTGTTCAGGCAGAGTTATGAACACAGAAACACAAATGACTATAAAGATTATATTGGCAGATTAAGGAAGTATTGAGTTGGGATTTTGTACTCTGTTTTCCAATAATCTGGTGTTGAAGGGAAAGTGTTTGGTATTTAAGCAGGTGGAATTGCGGCAGCCTTTGACAAATGCTTTGCTCGGCCCAATATTAGAGCATTCAATTCGTCCTTTTATATTGTACATTACATTTTCATGTTTGAAAAAAAAATGTGGGTAATCTATACTGAAGGATGCGGTGTATGTCAGAGAGCATGCAATGCCACTAACCTTCTTGGTCTTGACAGTAGATTGGCAGCAATCTCCTCCATCATAGTTACAGAAGGCTCTATTGTTGACTGAATCACAGTAGTTGTCTCCAATGAATGGCTTTGCAAAAGAAAGTGAGATCAACAATTAGGAAAGAATTATCGTTCTTATGTTTATTAACTTGAAACAGCCCAGAGTTCAGGTTTTCTGTTGAGTCTTTCGGGGCCTTTAGAAGCCTCTGACTGAATTTGCTGATGAATCTGAAACATTAAGTTTTCCTCATTCTTCAATGTCATTTGATAAGCCCTTAGTTGGCCAGACCCGTAAATCAAACTGAGGACACCATAAACTATTCAAAGCACAAAATGCTCCAGTAAGGTGATTTATTGGGCTGGCCCCACCCACGACACTTGGGTTACCAATCAGGTTATCCAGCTGGCCCTAACAGAGCAAATGACATCATTCTTCCATGAAATGAAATGGAATTCTCGCTTTTGCAGGTATATGCACCACTTTTAGAAAAAAAACAAAAAACACTAAATATGGTTATAAGTGTATAAGTTGCACTATTATATTATTGTAAGAGCTAATACATCAATGATTACATCTGTTACATTCGAATGTCTCATAGGACACTTCCATTATAGCAGCACATTTTTGTAAATACATGAAATGCCTCCTTTCTAAAAACTAAACAAAACTCAATACTTGCTGTTCAGACCTGCTGTAAGACTAGCGGATGCATTCTATGTGATCAGTCTCCACCTATGGTCTGAGACATTCACTTGTAAATCATCTGTCAATTCACCGCCTGTCTGTAGCCACTTAGCCAAGTACTGTTCATAAAACTTTATATTCTGCATTTGAGGTCAAGCAAGGTGGAATCATTTAAGTACATTACAACACCTTGTGATAAATGAGACTATTACTCCACAAATGTGTAAGACTCAGATCATCCCCTTACCTCACATCCTTTGATGCAGTGGAGCTGTTCTGGGGGTGGATACCATTTCAGTCCCATTGTACAGACTATACTCTGTAAGATAAGAAAAAAAAAAGCAAGATCAAGTAATTATTTTTTGCTTCATATGTCTTTAGTTCCCTTTTGCAAGTGTGTGCATCACTTTGGCAGATTCATTTAGCCCATACATCTCCATCTGTACACAGACGCACCACTAAGATGGTGAAACGAGGGGGTAATCAAAGAGGCTCATGAGCTACGGGTGAAAGATTTATTTATAGAGCCATCTTTGATTGATACAGAGCTTTTACCACCACGGACTAAAGCCAAATGCATAGATTTTGAATTGATAAAAATATAAAGGATCAAATGCGATAGAACTGTAACTTTTGTTTATTATGAAGTCATAGCCTCAGGAAGGCAAAGACAAAGAGCTGGGAGCAAGACAGTGAACAAAGCTAGCATTACACATATACTGAAGTGCAACTGAAAATGTATCTGTATAGTTCAACAGTCCCCGAATTTTATATATATATGTACATTTACATGTGAGTATGACCCAGTCACCAGAGGGTTTTCTTTTCATTAGAAATAGATAGTAATATCCATGAGCAAAAGTGTCATCGGCAGCAAAGGACTGGCTGACCTCAGGTGGTCCAATTCTCAGATCCACTGTGTCCCAATATCTCCCAAAGTTGACATGCATTTCTTTTGTTGCTGCGAACTAAGGTATTTTTCATTTCAGTGCTGTCAGCAAATCAATGCAAAAACAGGGATCAGGGCATGGAGGAGGGGAGAAAGAACAACTTTGGACAACATACAGCTGTGAGTGTAACAGTCATATTTGGCTTCAGTATTGCCCAGCGGAATACAGACATGTACCTTCAGGGAGGAAAATGACAGTTAATCCTGACGATGTTATTTGAGGTCAAATTTATTTGCACCCTCTGTTCTTTTATTCTTTCTTTGTTGTGCTCTGCAATGATGATGTCATCCAGAAACTTCCCTTTTTCCCTTTCATTTTCTCTCTCTCTGTGTCCCTTTTTCCCCCCTCTCTCTCAGCAAGGCCGTAAATCATGATAATCCATGATTGTGGCCTGGTCTCACCCCTAACTACGTATGGGATCCTCACCCTCTGAAGCCTCCCTGGGGCACTCATACCACATAAAAATAGATCTCTATCTCAGCGCCACCACAGACGAGGTCATGTCATATAGAAAATGACTAATTCTGCAGCAGGCCCGACAGGGTAATTTTGCTGATAAAGGGGGAGGAGGGTACGAGGGGCATAGAGTCATCAGAGACAGGGGAAAGAAGAGAGGAAGGTAGAGGTAAAGAAAAAAAAGCATGAGAGAATTCAAAGTGGGTCACATGAAGAACCAAAATACAAGTAGTTTATAGGCAATAAATCAACATTACTTATTAAGACGGGCAATACTAACCTAAAGCTGTGAAAAGTAGAACTAGGCAGTGCAATTGGGGGTATGGATTCTTCTTTAGATACTGTATGTACAAGGTTAAAAATCCTTTGTTCATATGTTTAATTCTCTCAATGACAGCTGACTATATTTGTCTTCTTCCAAACAAATGTTTTGATGTGCTCTGGTTTGAGAACTTCTCCCTGCAGTCAGACTTTTCATCTGCTATTGAATTGTGCTTTTTGCTTTTGAATAATACTGTCAATTCTCCCCTAGAAACAGATATGTTACTACACGAGTTAACCAGAGAAACTCTCATTTATTTAACTTTGAGATAATCACTGGATAATTCAGTTGGATTCCTCAAAACTAACATGTTTATTTTAATATAGATTTTGCTGCAATCTTCTGTCATTGCAGATAACTTAAATATATTCTATTCAAATAATTACTGGTGGTTCAATGTACTAGCTGGTGTGATGATGTCGAAATTACCCATTTGGTTTGATGCCACAGTGGCATCAAACATGATTAGGCAAAGACTTCATCTTAAGACTTGGATCTGCCTTTCACTCAAGTCCACACTGTGTTAGTCAAGACCATCAAGTGCATGCTCCAATTCCAGTGTTGGTCAGTGCCAAGGTGGAGAAGTGGTTGTGGTGTTAGAGATTAGAGCCTGTGAGACCCAGGAGGACTTAGATTGGTCAAAGGTGATGGGCAGTAAGATAAGGGTCCTTTTTTCTCATGTCCTGAATTTTATTCTCTAGTCGAAGAATGTTCTCTTCAATTTACCAGCAATACAATTTGTAGTTCTTATATAAAACCTCAAATTCAGCTGCATATACTGCTGGAATATTTTCCACATTAGCCTCCATACAGTCCTTCTTCAATGTGAAAAGTTTGTAAATCAGTTCCTTCTTGAAACATTCACTTAAAAGCACTGCCACTCTAATTTGTCTTACTGTGCCCAAAAGCAGAGCATAAAGTTTCAAATGACCACTGAGAGAAATTCCTATCATTTACACAAATCGATAAAAAACAGATCATTTTGTGCCCATGTGACCCAACCCGTATCTTTCTCCCAATATTCACTTTAAAAAGCTGCTGACTCATGGTAGCTGTCAAACAAAAAACAAGGGGTTTTGTGGACAAAAAAATATGGTGCTCCTTTACTTGTGTGTTAATCTATTTTTCTCTAGTTTCAAACGCTGATGTTGTTTTGTAAGATCTTTTGCTGATACAGCAAAAAGGATAACCCACTGGCATTTCATAGAGCATGACACAGATAAAGGATTAATTCAAGCGCAGAATGAATCAGAGGAGAACATATGAGTGGTCTCCTCAACACACTACAGTTTAACACACCTCCTGAACCCAACAGCACGCTTCACAAAAACCTCCCAAGACATGGAACATGGATGTGTGAAAGATATCTCTCCAGAGACGATGTGTACAGTTCTGTGTTAAATGACCATGCCACTCCAAGTGAATAGTACAATAGTATAGTATAAGTGAATAGTACAGTACGGCACAGTCTGTCGGTATGAGATTTCTCCACAAATTTAAGGCTGAATATAAAAACTTTATTAGTAACTATTACAACTGACATTACGGATGACAAAATATTAGAATAAATTAGTCACAGTTGCTCTAAGGGGCTCATGCCTCAAAAATATTTTATTCAAGTTTTTTGTAGTGTTTGGTTCCATTCTAAAAAATACATTTAGTTACTATACTACATATAGCTTTTGTTCAGCTTGATTTTCTCAAAGATAGGGGTTGATTTGTGTTACTAACAACTAATGGAACACTGCGTATTCCCATACTTCCTATCAAGAATAGAACACAGTAATTTCATGGTTGCCATGCATCAAAGACAAATATTTGTATGGTGCTGGGACAGGCACAAGGTGGCATTTCGCATTGTGGCTAATAGAGCCAGGATGTGGGGACAATATGTGAAATTCCTTACAGGAGAGTTGTGGATCACAGAACTTCGTGAAGTGCGTTTGTCAGAGCTGTGAGGAGGACACAAATACACGGACAAATTTACCTTGACTTTATGTGGGTTTCTCCAATGCTCCTTGACTATGTTCTCTGCTGTCATGTTGCTAGGGAGAATCACCACTTCGCCGCCAACCTCTCGGCATGTCAGCTCACACTCTTCACCTGTGCGCGTGTGTGTGAAAAAGGGAGAACAAACCTATTAAACCACACCCAGACGGAAGACATTTCAATTTATTCCCTTTCCCTATGACTTTTAGACACATTTGACGATGAAGGGTTTTGAAAAACTTCTAAACTTTACTCCCAGTTAGGTCAAAGTATATGCACCGTAAATAGATAACCCTTACTACAAGGAAAGAAAACTATGTCATAATCAGAAATAAAATAACTAATAAATTAATTACATACACTAATAACTAATGAACTTAAGCTATGAGTAATTTGAAAGAAAATTTTCAATCCCTGCAATGAAAAAATGTTGTTATAGTAGGAAAATGTCAAATCAAATGTTTAAACAGTGAATTAGAGCATACAGACCTATGCTGTGTCCTCGCTTGCATGAGTAATGTAGGCCATGATGGAGGTTCTGAGGTAAAGAACACTGGCCTTTGCTGTATGAGCATAGGCGGAATGACCCTGTCCAATTTCCATCCTTCCTACAGCGGATTGCATTAGACCCTGAACCCTGAAAATAACACATATATTGACAGACAAACAATTATATACACACTGGTGCACAAACATTGCCAAGCCAAGGACATTGAGATGGAATCATATTGCATATGGAGAAATACAATACAATTTTTATCAGGGATGCAACCCACAATGCCTGGGAGGCAGAACAGATTAAAAGGTGTATACATTTCAAAAGTCTGTGGCAGCAGAGCTATTCTGGAAATCAATAGCAATCTAATTAGCATGGCGTCAAATTGAGTAGGGCTTTAGTAGACAGGGAGAAAAACAGACATAGTGAGGGCAGTATCAGAGCATCAGTGTATTAGGAGCGATGTCATTTTTCACACAATTCACCGATCTACAATGTTTTTTTAGAATAATGGAACCGCATGCAAAATAATCTTTTAAGAATAAAAAAGAAACAAATCAGATATTTACCAAAGCAATTGTCAAGCAATTAATCTAACATGTATGTTTTAGGATGGTGGGATAAAACTAACCACCACAAAAGCATCAAAATCAATAAAAAGATTTAGATTGTTGTAAGAAGTTAGGTTTACGAATAACACTTGATAAGTTAAAAATTTCTCACGTGAAAAAACATCATATCTGCCTATATATATTTGTCTTGATAGAATTGACTATGCATGCCATCTAAAACAAAGCAAACAATTCAGCACTTCCATCCTCTACGTAAGTATGCCTTGTGAGGCTTTGTGAGGCATAATAATAACATTACAAAATGGTAAAAGCTTTACTGTCCCAGCTGTTATGGAATGTGTTGTAAAACTGGGAGTATATTAACAAATGAAAAGAATTTGACAAGGAAACAAAACATTTATTGGGCTTTTACTGTCTGCTATGAAAAGCTCCAAATGATATGTAAGAATCGCTCACATATACTTTCCTTGAAGGCCTAATTTTTTTCTAAATTGGGCTAGAAAGATATTACATGGAGCACAGGCTTCTGAATTAACATAATTATAATCAAAAGGAATTTCCATAACACACTCCAAAATGTCTCAAAAGAGAATAAAAATTATGGCCAACAGAGAGAAAAAAGGAATATATTACTTTGTTACAAGACACATAACAAAGAAAGTTTTGGTACAGCCAGAATAGAAAGAGAGGAAAGAGATGGACAGACCTGCTTGCATGGAGCGTTCAGCAGCCTCACCGTATGGGCAGAGCCTCCTGTGGCCGCGGGAGCGGTTTTACTAGCAGGATTGGAGCAATTGAGTCGGCAGACACTGTCAAAGCGGAAGCCATCAGTGCAGTAGTAGGAGCCATGAAAGACGGCAGGGGGAGGATCACAAGTCACCGGTTCACATGCCCCTTCCAGCCAGGTGCCATCCTCCGTGCACTGGCGCTTAAACGCACGTCTAAAGGAAAAGTAAACTCAGTCAATAAATTTGAGTCATATATTGAAGTTGCAAAAAAAGTACTGCAGGATGATCAAACAAATGTAAAAAGTACAACATATTATTTTCCTCCCTCACCTCTTGGGTTTTTTGGTAACATGGTAACCTGGCCTGCATTTGTATTTGCAGAGCGTCCCAACTTTAAGGCCTGTCTCATTGCAACGCTTCGTCTGAAGCACGGCATTGGGCACTGGAGGAGGAGCTGGGCAGCGAAGCTCACAAAGAGCCTCAGGAAATGACCAAAGACCATCCTCTAGGCACGTAAGAGTGTTGTTGGAACCTTGGGAGACAAATGATAACGATAACATGTTTCACTTCCATATTAATAGGGATTCCTTGATTTTAACAAAGAAATCATAACTGGGGTTTGGCATTATGCCACACAAATATTGCAATAAGCACGTGACAAGCTAAAATTAGGTGTATCACAGACCTTTTGCACCATTTGATGGTTTCTGACCTAAGACCGATTTAGCTTTTTCATATTAGAAAGACATACAGGGCTGATTGGATATATTTGCAACTCACCTATGAGCTGGGCAGGTTCTCGGCACTGAAAAGTGCTCTTCTTGCCGTAGGTAGTGCCTTCTGGGAAACTGAAATGGGCAGGGTGAACATGGTATTTGTCTGGTAGACCACAGTCCACCGGCTCACATGATACCAGTTTGTTCCATTTCCCATTTGCACAGGTTATAGTCACTGAAGAACCAGACTGGAAAAAAGACAGCACACTTGGAGTCAGATGAAAACATTTGGATGGATCACAGATGCAAAACCTGTTCTTTCTATTCTGAAGAAAACTGTGTGAATAGACAACTACATTCAAAGGGTTTCTCCTCAACGGTTGCTCCACTCTTCCACCAACCTTTATGAAATTTGTCTGTTTAATCATTTGCATCATATTGTTGCTAGTGATGCTCCCAGTTGTACCTTGCCTACTGAGATACACTCCTGTCCCCCCCGCGACCCCATTTGGGAATAAGCGGTTCAGAAAATTAAAGCATGGATGGATGTGGCCATAGATGGAGGAGGATCATACATGTAAAATTGTGCTTTTTTTTTTAAAGTTCATCAATTTTTCAGAGCAGACAAATCTAAACAAACTCCCCAATGTTTGCCGGCCTAAAGCCTCCTGCCTGTATGAGTGGACTCTTACATGTTGTTGGAATGTGGCAGGAAACTGGAGAAGCCAGAGGAAATCTACACATGAGGAGAACATGCAAAATCCACAAGAAATGGTCTCTGGCAAGGATCCAAACCCAAGAGTGGGAACACCACTCTGCTATGACAAGTTCAAATCTGCAGCACAATATACTGAGGGTTTTCTATGATGGATTGCTTTTCCCACTTTGGCATAAAAGATGTGACTGAAAAATTTAAATGCCACATGTTTTCCATTAATTGTGTGTGTGTGTGAGCGTGTGTGTGTGCGTTACATGGAACTATTCTTTATCATGACATGCAAGAATATGGTCCAAAGAAGCTAGCATAAAGGAGACGTTTTCCTAGTATGTGAGTTCCAGAAACTAAGCTTTTAAATCAGGATCTTTCCAGAACACTATTCAAAATGACAATATTTTATTTTACCAGAAAAAATGTCCTACCATAGGTTAATTTCTTATCAGATATTACTCTGATTCCTGTAAATGAGATATTTGCTAAGATGAGACCAAAATGGGAAGCCACTGTATTATCCAAACCTCAACTGTTTTCATCCCCTTCCATTAAATTGCATCGTGTAATGAAACTGGAATGTTCATATTGAATGCTGTGCCAAGAAATCTCACAACAAAGCTGTTAATGCTCAATCATTCTGACTTTTCCTTCTCTGAATAAAAAAAATGGGGGGGGGAGACCTGTGTTTTCGCCATCAATTACAATACATGGCTGTTTGGGTAGACTTTAATTACACACATCGTTTCAAGGAGAAGCCAAACTTTAAGGTCGCACAAGCTGGACTCACTTAACATTACATATCTATTGCTTCATAACCTTCTTTCTCTTCCCGTGTATAACAATCTTTCATCTTGATCCCATTATATGATACTGAATAACAGTATCATGTTTCCTCAAAATAAATAAGCTCCTTTCATATTTGGATCCTCTACAAAGTACCATATGTATTGCATGTGAGTGCCTTCTAAAAAATAGCTGGGTGAAGAGTTGAATGAGTCAGTCATGATGGAAGGTTTTGAGCATAGTCTCCATGGAAGAAATGCATCCCTGTTTGAATGGACTTTTAAACAATATGCACATCAATGGCACAAACTAGAAATTGTGTGTGTGTGCGCGCGCGTGTGTGTGGATTAAGTTACTGCATTTCAAATTCATTAAAACATCTATGATCCAAGGCATGTATACCCTTTTTCTTTCATTTCAAAATGATGAGAAACCCTTCCATTTACAAAAAACTGAGTACCGTAATATGTTTTTGTTTACTTTGGAAAATTCCTCCCTTTCATCAGTTTTACTTAAACCATATTTAGAAATTGATTGGAGTTATGAAGCAATGAATATAATGAAATTGTCAGCCAAAAAGATGCAAAACATAAATTATAGTGCAAATTTAAAAAAAGATTGTTTTAGTCTTTTTTTATGGTGGAAATCTTTGAAAGATAGTATTGCTGCAATCTATGGATGGATGGAGAAAATCCAGGGACAGTAATCCCGCCACCCACACAGTCATAGATCTTCACATTTAAATCAGTTGTTAGTATACATGACATAACTGGATCATTGCATCAATATGACAAGACCAAAGAAAAACTGTTTTTCTATTTTTTGGAACAATGATTTTTTAAACTTGTGCACTTTATATTATTGCAAAAAAAAAAATCAGAGCTGGACTTAGCCCAGCCAAAAGGATCAAAATTGTAATGTAAATCTGTCGATCGACATCTCGATCCAAGATTTTTATTTTTCTAAACAGTTATACATTCTCAAGCTATTGGTTGTGAATTATTCTTTATTTGTAGTGTATGTAGAGAAAGTTATTTCAAATTTAAATAAAATCTAAAAAACTGTTAAAAAAATTAAATGATCTGAATACTTTCTCAACTTGTTCTAGTGTTCATATGGACAACAGTTATGTGAATGTGATGGAATTTTTCTTTCTTTTAAAACGGTTTAAGATGATTGTTGCTCTTGCAGCAGCAATTTTAACAACCTTTGGCTCCGATGAGTAATTAAAGCCAGACAAACCAGCAGAAACATTAAATAGAGGTTTGACATCCTATTCCTTCTACAAGGAAGTTTGCCTTAACTTGGTAATCACAGAAATAGGAAAAACAAATCAAAAGTATGGTTGATTATTACCACAGTTGCATTGATGAGACAGCTTACATAACAATGCTGGGTATGTTTTATCACTGTTTAGTATAACCTTAAAAGTCCCTTCACTGCAGTTTCTAGGGAGAAAATGCTTTACTACGAAGCAATGGTTTTATTTGGCGAATTTCAAACATAATTTTCCAGAAGAACGTGCTCAGAACAGTAGCATGTTACTGAGAATATAACAGTATCCAGAAGCATATGTGCTTCCAAGTATGTCTGTGCAGATTCTTGGTTATCCAGGGCATGGTAATCCTAAGTGCTTAAAGAGAAAACAACTCCCAAGAAGCATAAATTTCTCTGTCTCTCCCTCTCTCTTTGTTCAGAAAAGCAAATCCACATTAACTCCAGCAAGTGTAGTCACAAAAACTTATTATATTTTCTGAAATTCAGGCCGAGTTTCCAGGAATGTTATAGTGTTGTCAAGTGGATTGCATTAAGTACTTATGAAGTGTTATTGTCTCATCTCCAGCTGACAGTGATCTTAGAGCTCTAAGTAAGGAAAATCTGAGAAGAATTCTGAGAGGTCAGCATGGCTAGCAACTAGTCCAAGTGGGATCAATCTTAAAGCCTTTGCATAGTAAAAACCAGCAGTGAGGCCTGAAAAACTCAATAACTATATTGTCCAGCCTGCATGTAATGGTGCACAGCGGGATGAAGGTAAATAACTGTGTAATGTAAACGAGATGCATATTCACTGTAGATATTTCTGTCTCAAACTGCTATTAAGGAGTTCTAAATGTCGTTTAAATGACCAGTAGAATGCAAATGTCTTCAACTACTGCTCCAGATATTTACCAATTATTGTCAAACTTGAATCAAAGAAACATCACCGCTGCCTCCTGTGTATCAGAGAAGTATCTCATTTTGCATAAATACCAACAATAGAAAAATGAGGTATGAATCAAGTTATTCAAAAATACATTCAAGCAAAATTGCTCCTCTAATGATGGAAAGTATGCAACACCATACTGGAACAATCATAAATTGAAACAATGTAAAATGATCTTGAATGGCAATTGTTTTATAAAGGCCATAACAAATTTAGCAACATAGCAACATATTTCTAGGTCTGTGCTTATACTGTTTTAAGGAGGACAATGTTCAAACCTATAGAGTGTGTAAAAGAAAAACCCTGTGGGAAAAAGATGTCACTTGATAAGTGCCAGCACTCAGTGTTCCCGTACCACTTCAAAGAGTGAGAAAGATAAGGTAAAACGGATAGCAAGAAACACACATATACAAATCAAGCATGTGAGTGGAATAGATTTGTTTTGAAGATAGCATCTGAGAAGGTGGTGTTCCCAGAACTTTGACATCAGTGAAACGAGAATGTAATTGTCTAATGAAAGGAAAACAAGATTGTGCTTCATGCTGCACTTTTCAACCTTTGTGTGGAAATGTGTGTGTCTGCTTGTCTAGGAGGAATAGCATGAATGCAAGAAAAGACATTAGAAATTAAAAATATTTCAAAATCATCGTATAACTTTTAAATCTCATGTAAGCTTTCACCTAATTTTACCAAACGAGCACTAATAGAGGATTTTCAATTTATGCAAAAAAATAAAATAAAGATTTTGGGGATTTGATGATAACATTCATTTTATAATTTAATCTTTTTTCTCTTTAA